GAGTTCAAATGTATTTAAAATGATAAAAGATTAAGGGTAAAATAGGGTCAAAATTAAGATTACCTTGGTAATCTTATATTAACACCCATTGGGAAGGTAATTTGATTACCTCCAATATTACCAATAGTAAACACTATTTACAATAAAAGATTACGTAATATTTTATTACTTGACAACCAAATGAGGGAATCTTGAAAATTAAACAAAGATTACAGGATTAATCTTATATCACCTTGAACCAAACGCTACCTAAAGAAAATCTATTGTCATCCTTTCAAATTAGATAGTTTGAAATACAAACACACAAATGTCTATGGCTGGAAGGAAATTACTTTTAAACCGCTTGGTGTGTGGCTGCATGGTAAGACTTTTGAGCGGGTTTTGAGTCCCACAAAGTGACCAGCTACTAGGTTTGTGACTTATTTGACTAGTTGGGCTTGCATGATATTCAATAGACCTTAGGATTATCTGAAGTGCACACAAGCTGGCCCAAACATCTTGGTTACCAATTTTTTTTTCAAATTATTGGGTGGCTCGAGCTCGGCTTGGATGTTACAGTGTTAAGCTTGAGTGGTGTTGTTCGATCCAATCCTGAGCCCAAGTCGAGTTCAAGCTCGAGAATTCCCCCCGTCTGTCTCTCTCTCTCCATCGAAAAAAACCAAAAAATAGAAACAGAAAAACAAAAACAAATCAAATCCCTATACCTCACCACCATGGAACCCGTTCTTGTCGATTCAAACGTCAACGAATGTCACTGAGCAGCATGTTGAGGAACGACATCGTAGATTGGTCAGCACTCAACAGGCGAATGTTGTTGTTGTTCACACTCCTCAAGTGAGATCAAAGCACTGATCTAAGACAAGGACGACAGCGAGATTGATGCAAAGACAGCAGAGAATGGCAAGGCCGAGAAGGTTAAAAAGGTGAAGCCAAAGATTACTATGGTGGAAGTTGCGGCTAAGATTGATGCAGCTGATCTCACAGCAATTCTTGTTGATATATCGGTAAGTGAGGAAATAATTTGTGAATTGTGTGTGCCTAAACCTTGAACGAAATTAAATAGGCAAAATGATAAATTACATATACCCGCTAATAGTTGCAAAACTTGCATAAATCCCCTGTCGAGCTCGAGTAAGCTCACAAGCAACTCGAGTCGAGTATTGGGGAGCTTAAACTCAACTTGACACCGTACTTGAGTCGAGTCAAGCCTGAGCCCAAGCGACCCGCGAGCGGCTCGACTTGCCTTACAACCCTAATCTCAATCTTTGATTTCTTCTTATAAATAAAAACAAAACAAGCAATAAAAGAAAAGCAAAGAGGAGTTTATGTGCGAAGGACTACCTCCCATAGGTTATTGGCTACTTTAAGACACCAGTTTTCTGATCTCTTAACATGTTTCGGGATTATAATTTTTCTAATTCCCATTTTAAGAAAATTGGCTCCACATAGTAATAGTTATCTTATATTGCACAAAAAAAATATATATATATATTAAAGGTTTTAAATGAAATAAAATATTCATCTAAAGTTTTTTGGTACAATGAAAGTTGTTACAATGTCTTTTAAGTTTCGGGTACGTAATAACTAAAGGTGGAAAAGTAACCCGCCCGGCCTGCGGTGGGTTACTTTGTTTGGCAGGCCGGGCCTAACCCGCTCACCAACAAAGGTAGGCCGGGTTAGGCCCGCCATTTTCTCTAAAATGGTTGGCCCAGCCCGGTCCGCCAGCCCTAACCCGCCGGGTTAGGTGGCGGGCTGGGCCGGGTTAGCCCGATTTTCCTATTTTTTTTTATTTAACTTTTCAAATAAATAATTATAAATATAATTGTTTTTAATTAACTTTTCAAATATCAATAATTCAATTCAATTTTTTTGTTTGGTTAAACATTTCAAATATTAATTCAATTTGATACAATAAATTATAATATAAGAAAATTAGACTTATTCATTTATCAAAAAATAAATAATAAATGAATAATTGAGAGATTAGAGAATATGAGGAAAGAGAGAATTTGAGTTGTGAGAAAAATGTGAGAAATTAGGGCCAATTTATAGGAAAAAATGGGAAAGAGAAATGACGAAAAAAACCCTTCCAATGGCTATAAAACGACTATATTTTAGGATAAAGAGGTAATTTAAAAATAAAATAATTTTTATTTTAGCACACACTTAAAAAGAAATGTAAAAGCACTTGAATTATTGGCCACATCATAAAAGTTGCCATCAGTGTTTCCCACACTCCAAACATCAAGTTGAAGCTTTAAATGGGTCTCGCTTTCACTTTTTCTAGTTTCTTCTCTTTATTACTTCAATAACAATAAACTTAATCTCCCTCCAATTAAATTCCGAGAAAGCGCAGGAAAATAATGGAAATCGATACTCCAACTCAAACTAAATGACAAGAGATAAAAACATCCACGACCACGAAATAAGGATCGTCGTCGAACTCCCAGTCACGAATCACATTGATTATAGAAAAATAGATCAACATTTTATATATAACAATAATTCATTCGTATAACGCATCTGCAAAACAAAATGACCAAATTTATATATAGCTCTACTAGCAATATATAATTAGCAAAATGTCTCACATGATTTTAGTTCTACTAAATCAGTAGTATATTTAGTATATAGATTAACATCATCTAGGCAGTTCAACTGATCTAATCCCTATATTACCATCCAGAGCAATTAGAAAATCCATCAAAATAAATAGCATAAGTTACTCGGATGATACACAGAAACACAAAAGATGAGCAAACTGAAGAGTTCAAACCAAAAACATTGAAAAGAAAAAAAAACAGAGGTAGCTTTTAGATCAGAATGGCTTCAAATAAGTCCCAGATAAATCAAGAAGCCTCACTGCAGAAGTATATTAACACTCTTATTGGCCAGAAAACACTGGTTAAAACATTGCGGCATTCATTGAGGCCTTCAGCAGCTTCAGACCCTAACAATAGGAGATCAAATTAATATATCACTAACTATATAATATGTGTGTGTGTGTGCGACTATGGAGTAACAATTAACAAAGCCAAAAAAAAAAGATGATCAACACATACCTCTTCCCTGCCAAAATCAACTACCCTCTCCTCAAGTGCACTCAAATTCTTAACATTAAACTTGTTAAGGAAAGTAATACTAGATATAGTAGACAAAGGCATCACCTCTAGATTATCCATCACCATGTAAGTCGCCACCCCTTTAACAAATCCTCCTTCAACCACAGCTTCCGTTTTTTTACCCCCAGGAGAAATATAAGTTACCTCGCGGCTCATCGATGCCTTGCATTGAGGACAAATCACGTTCGGGACATCACTCACATTAAAATGTTTGTTAGGAGTAGAACCGAATGATCCCGAAACACAAGGATTAGATCTGAAAGTACTGGCTCCTCCGCTTCCGAAAGAATTGTTAGGAGTAGAACCGAATGATGATGTCGAAAAAGGAGGAGTAAATGCGAAAGGACTGGCTTCTCCTCTTCCGAAAGAAGTTTGGTTAGATGTGTACTCAGACGTAGTAGCACACGTGTAAAGCTTTCGTGTTTTTGATTCACGGTGAGGCTGAGACAGCAGAAGAGGGATTTCAGTGGCAGATATTGAAGGTTTTGGATTGAGCAACGAGTTCTTCTCTTGGTTTGGTTGCATATAGGTTTCATCAAGGTTTTCGATGCTCTCATAAAGTTTATCAAGGCAACCCACCGAGCTTTTCCCTATCAAGAGCTTAACCACTGTTCCAACAGGCAAAGAAAATATGTAGAAGAGAAAATCCACGAAGTCCTTGCCGGCTTCAGCGAAAAGGACTCTCTTTCCCTCTGTGTCTATGAGAAGCTTCAACTTCACCATGGAAGCTGCCATGATTTTTCTCGGCTTTTCTTTGTGTGTTTAATTTTGAAGGTAACATATGGATGAAGAAAAAAATGTATGCATTTCTATTTCTCCACACCCTACATATTGTAGTACTTGTGAAGGCAGAGCAGGAAATTTCTGGAAACAGAGCAAAATTGCAGAAAAAGTTTGAGAGAAGTTGTGTACTTTTTCATCAAGTAAAAAAACTGTTTTACAAAAGTTTTTATAGTCCATCAAAAGTCTAGGTTGGCAATCCTTGTGAACTTAATCTCAGCCATTCAATCAAATAACAAACAAACACAATTGGAGCTGAACTGAGCCGTTAGATCAATCCATTTTAGCTCTAGTAACTTTGAAGAAGAAACACAAAACCCCGCTCTCTGCTCTTCGCGAAACTTTGTTAAAACTCTAATGCTTGTAATTGAAATACAAGTTATCTCACGGCTCATCAATGCCTTGCATCGAGGACAAAGCACGTTTGGAACACCACTCACATTAAAATGGTAGCTAGGAGTAAACCCGAAAGAAATATTGTTTGATCCGAAAGGACTTTGGTTAGATGTGTGCGCAGATGTAGTAGCACACGTGTAAAACTTTCGAGTTTTTGATTCACGGTGAGGGTGAGAATGCAGAAGAGGGATTCCAGTGGCAGATATTGAAGTTTTTGGATTGAGCACCAAGTTCATGTCTTGGTTTGGTTGCATATAGGTTTCATCAAGATTTTTGATGCTCTCATAAAGTTTATCAAGGTAACCCACAAAGCTTTTCCCTATCAAGAGCTTAACCACTGTTCCAACAGGCAAGGAAAATATGTACAAGAGGAAATCTACGAAGTCTTTACCAGCTTCAGCGAAAAGGACTTTCCGCCCCTTTGTGTCTATAAGAAGCTTCAACTTCACCTTTGAAGTTGCCATGAACTTTCTCGGCATTATTTTCTTTGTGTGTTTAATTTTGAAGGTAACTTATAGATGAAAAATAAGTGTGTATTAATCTCTTACTTCACACACTACATATTTATATTTATATAGTGTGTGTGGTGTGTGGTTTTGCCATAAAGCTCGCAGATCTCAGAAGCTTGCAGAGATATAGTAATTCATTCTTATAATGATTCTGCAAAACCAAATTGACCAAATTTATAGTATATAACTTCTACTAGCAATATATAATTAGCAAAATGTCTCATCATTGATTTTAGCTTCTACTAGCATCAGTAATATTATTACTATACATTAACATCATCTAGGCAGTGCAACTGATCAAAATCCCTGTATTACCATCCAAAGCAGTTCGGAAGTCCAGCAAAATTACATAGCATACTCTATTCAGATGAGCAAACTGAAGAGTTCATAACCCAAGAACATTAAAAAGAAAAAAAGAGGTAGCTTTTAATATCAGAATGGCTTCAAATTAACTCCCAGATAAATCAAGAAGCCTCACTGCATGAGGTATATTAACCACTCTTATTGGCCAAGAAAACACTGGTTAAAACATTGTGGCATTCCATTGAGGCCTTCAGCAGCTTCAGACCCTAACAATAGGAGATCAAATTAAAATATTACTAGCTAATAGCTATATATATGTGTCGACTATGGAGTAACATTTAAAGCCAAAAAAAAAAAAAAAAAGATGATCAACACATACCTCTTCCCTGCCAAAATCAACTACCCTCTCCTCAAGTGCAGTCAAATTCTTAACATTAAACTTGTTAAGGAAAGTAATACTAGATATAGTAGACAAAGGCATCACCTCTAAATTATCCATCACCATGTAAGTCACCACCCCTTTAACAAAACCTCCTTCAACCACAGCTTCCGTTTTTTCACCCCCTGGAGAAATATAAGTTACCTCGCGGCTCATCGATGCCTTGCATTCAGGACAAAGCACGTTCGGGACATCACTCACATTAAAATGTTTGTTAGGAGTAGAACTGAAAATTTTCGAACCTGTAGATCGGGAAACAAGAACGGTTCCTCCGCTTCCGACAGACGTAGTAGCACACGTGTAAAGCTTTCGTGTTTTTGATTCACGGTGAGGATGAGACAGCAGAAGAGGGATTTCAGTGGTAGATATTGAAGATTCTGGATGGAGCACCGAGTTCTTATCTTGGTTTGGTTGCATATAGGTTTCATCAAGATTTTCGATGCTCTCATAAAGTTTATAAAGGCAACCCACCGAGCTTTTCCCTATCAAGAGCTTAACCACTGTTCCAACAGGCAAAGAAAGTATGTCGAAGAGAAAATCTACGAAGTCCTTGCCGGCTTCAGCGAAAAGGACTCTCTTTCCCTCAGTGTCTATCAGAAGCTTCAACTTCACCATGGAAGCTGCCATGATTTTTTCTCGGCTTTTCTTTGTGTGTTTAATTTTGAAGGCAACTTATAGATGAAGAAAAAAATGTTATGTATTTCTCTTTCTCCACACATTAAATATTTATATAGTGTGCATTTTCTTTCTTCTTGTACAAGTTGGATCACTCTTTCTTCTTGTATAAGTTTAGACTTTAGTCACCTTCGTAAAGATATATGATTGACAGCCACTTTGACTGCTAGGTGATACGAAAAGCAATATAAAGATAGAAATTTTATCAATATAAATTATTGTTTTAATTTATTTTAATTAATATTAAATTGTTTTAAATTTAAAATTTTTATTTAAAGAATTTATTATTAATATAGTTTTAATTAACAAATTTATGAAAGATAAATACTTATTTTGGTCAATTTATGTACTATTCTAAAAAATAATAACAATTTAAAAATTTAACTTCGACAAATACCTTTTTAACTTCTATCTAAAGTTCGATCATCTGTAAATTAGAGTTATAGCATTAAAATTTGGGGACCAGTGACTTTAGGCCGAAAGCAATTATTTATCTTCACACTCCTTTACACGTAGTAGTGTGTCAAATGTTCATGCTTGCAAGAGAGATTATAAAGGCAAGCAAAGGCTCATCGTTTCCCAAAGAGATAGCCCCATAGCAGATTTTCTTAGCGAAACAATTAGTGTTTTTAATCTCTATGTAGGTGTTGATGTTATCTCAAATTGAAGTTCATATTTTTCTTTGTTTCCATTATAGTTAGTTTATTTATTTACCCCATTTGTTAGAGTTGTCGACCACTTTAACAATAACGGATCATGCAGACGTATTTAGAGGTTTCGTTGTACGATTTATCTAAATTATTAATCTTTATTAGGTTTGACTTACGAAAAGAGATCATTGTAATACGTTTTAGTCTTTAAACCTATATAAACTTATTTTTTTCTTGTATAAATGTAATAATAAATCATAATATAAATTATATTCATTGTAACAAGAGAGATGAGATAGTATTTCAATAATATTAACTTTGTTAACATAACCTGTTAACTAGGTGAAATAGGATAAATCACGTATATTATTTTTTCTCTATACTAGTTTGTGGTTTATGTGTATTTATTGTTTTTGGTTTTGTATTACTATAAATTGTTTCACCGTTAACTAGTATTGTATACAAGTTCGTGATTTCAGTACTTCTATTTGTGTTGTGAGTCATATACCTCGTGTTTGTTTCTGATGAATAAAAAATCGATCTAATGGTTATTATTAATATGCAATATATATGTAGATTTAATATTTCGAGCAATAGATGTGTAAAATTCACATCTTAAAAAAAGATTTTACCATTGCAGTTCAGAAAGAAACAAATACACATTAATTGATTGCAACATTTAGGACTTAATTTCTTGAATAATTTAGTAACTAACATAAACAGTAAATACAAGCAGTGTCTCAACACCATCAGTTTCATGCTGATTAGTCTCGCGTAAAGTCTTAACAATGGCGAACACTTTTACATTAACATACTTCCCAGTACCACCCATAATTGCCAGCTGAGACTCCGATGTAGCAGTCCGATGAACCCCGAAAAAGCTTAAACTATCAACAAAGTTTCCACTCTGAAACATAGTCGTAAACGCCATGGTTTGGCTTGAACCATCGATTGAACTCGCCACATAGAACCCTTGCGCCTTGCCCACAAATCCTGACCCTAGTTCGTGCCCTTCTGTCAGCTCGTTATCAATAACTGTCATGGTGCCGAACATCAGTTTCTGGAGAATAGACCCTGATGAAAGTTGGCCTCCATTGAAAGCAGCCGGGAAGTTCAATGCGTTATTGAGAAAATTGTTGCCATTGTTTTGTAAAACATTTTGTGTGGTGCCACTTAGGCCTGTGAGAAATGGGATATTATTGTTGTTTAAAAGACCACTGTTTCCACTGTTTTGAGGAACACCATTGTTTATTGGGAGATTTGAACCATTAGGCTTGGCAAAGGGAACCTAACCACTGACGGCGGGGTTGTTCACGACGTCGGTCATGGCTAGAGCTGAATGGTTGGACCCGCCAAGAATGTCATGCATAAAGAAGGTTAAGGTGTGGGCAGCGTCAATGGCACTAGTGGTTGCAGCCACGGTTGGTAAATTGGCAACAGGTGTCGAGACAGGATTGGATGGCTGCGGAGGAACCGGCGGCAGGACCGGTTGTTCATCGAGAATTCGAGCTGAGGTGGGAGATAGTATGGTGACGAGGGTAAGGAACATCAGATAGGCAGTGGCCTTTGGCGTGATGGAAATGAAATTGTGGGATTCCATGTATGCAATAATATATATGTGAGTTTGAAAAAAACACGATTAATTAGAAGATTGATGATGGATTAATGAAGGGTTAGAAGTGCATTTATATAGAGATTGAGAAGTGAAATATTGGGAGTTGATGAGATGGATTTGGTAGATGTCATTTACTTTTATTGTTTAATGGAGTTCTGAAATGTTGATTTTGGAGAAAGTGGAGCAAGAGGAATATTTGGACACGGACAGTTTTAGCTCACCTTAAGAGAACTCATGTAATATATATATATATATATATATATATATATTAGGGCATCTCCAACCCACGCCATCTTGCCGTAAAAAAACACCAAACTAAGCGCCATGCCATTAATTTTTTTTTTTTTATTAAGTTAATTTGAGTATTAAATTTTACACCAAAAATCACACCAAATTTGATTATTTGTATTTAATTTAATTTGATTATAATTTATAATAATAAATTCATAATAATGATATAATTAAAAAAATGATGAAAAATTAAAAGTAAAACTTTACTCAATGCAAATATTAAACTACAATAACTCAAAATAAAAATTAACACTAATTTAAAAACATTAAATCTAAAAAGCTTAAATGGACAACACATCTTTTTGAGTTTGAATGAATAAAATATCTTTTGAAATAAGTTATAAATCTAAAAAACTTGAATAGACAATACATCTTTTTGAATTAGCCACAAATCTCTGATTTCAAAATTTTCTTGCTCGACATAAAAAAATCAAGGATACAGAGGCTCACCATGCTTTTCGAAATGCATTAATTGATCATTTGTGGGAAGAACATACTAATTCGGAAAATTAAATTACTGTCAATATGGAATTTTACCTTTGTGTTGTTTTTTTTTTTTTTTTTTTTTTGGATATCATTTATATTAAATGTAATGTTTATTTGATTAAATAATGCTTATTTTATTAGATTAGTATAATTTTTAAAATAATTATTATTTAATAAAATATCATTCCATATTTAATTAATATATACAAAAATAATGAGTGAAATAGGTTAATTGTTGATTATTACAATAAAAGAAAAAGAAGATATTCTTTTTGTGTAATATTTGGTGTAATGGGTTGGAGATGGAATAGTATTTTACACCAAATTTGTACCAATTTGGTGCAAAACTTGCGCTAATTTGGTGCAATGGGTTGGAGATGGTCTTAATAATGCTAGGGACACTTTTGAAATTAATGTTGCCTTGTGTAACATGTTCCAATTTTCTTTGAGGCAATTATTATTTTATTATTAATTATTGTTATTGAATTTAATTTAAATTAAAAACTTTCGTGAATCAATGTGGCATACAAATATTTTGAGAAATTATATACATAGTATAAACACAATGAATAACAATTCACTAGACTTTGTCTAATAAAAAATAATAAAGATATAGTTATTATTAAATTGCAAGCTACTAAGTGAAGTTATGAGAGAAAATTTATGAAATTGAGTTATAGTGTATTATTATTACAATAAGATTACTCTATTCAATCTTACAATCCCTATGTGGCTAGGGTGTTCAAAGACCGGTTGGAACCAAAGTCGTGGGTAGTCGGGGTTTGGTTCCATTCCCTACCCTGAACCGACTGTCTGGTAGATTCCGGTTCCAAATTTTTGGAACCGTTACTGTGCAGTTTCGGATCCAGTTTCATAATTAGGAACTAGAACTAGAACAGAAACCGAGACTATAAAAAATAAATTAAAGATTATGGGGGTTATAAAACTTTTGTAGAAAAAGTAATGTGAATACCTTTTTTTATATTTCATACCATTTGAAGTAAGTTGGTTTGACTTTTGAGAATCTACCTTTACAAAGTAATGGAGTTTGTAATTTTGAATTATAATTTGTAATTTTATTTTTGTTACAAGAACCAGGGGGGTGGGGGGGGGGGGGGGGGGGGGGGGGGGGGTGTTATTGTAAGTTTTTAAGGTTTTTTTTGCCATTTTAAAAAACTTTTGGGGGGTCATGTAATTTTATAGGGTACTCAGAATTGTAACCGGAACCGTTGTTACAGGTTCCGGTTCTAGGTACCTAGGAACTGGAACCAGAACCGTTGGTTCCTGTTTTGGTTCCAAATTTCAAGGAACCGTCGGTTCCGATTCCTTCAAAAAATGTAGGGTACTCGAAACCAAACACCCCTAGATGTGGCAACTCGTAATTGGGCAGACGTGACTCATTGTTGTTGGGTAAACTGGACTCATTACGAGTCGACCAATTGTGAGCTACCACGCCGAAGTTGTGAGAGAAAATTTGTGAGATTGAATTGTAAGTATATGATTGTCTTTAAATTAATATGGAATTTGTTTATATAAAGAAGTATTAATACATATAAAGTATAAACCTTTCAATAAAGTAATATACCAATATTTTTTATTTCAGTTGGTCACCCCAATATTTAATACACTTGCAATGTTGGTTATAAATAATTATCTCTTAATTAGATAATCATTTCCGTATTTAAAGTTTCGATGATTTTCAAAATTTATATTTAAAGGCTTTAAAACTATTTACAAATTGAAAAATTAAAATTTCTCTCTTTGTTTCATATGTAGAACTTAAGTAATAGATTGAAGCAAAAAAAAAAAAAAAAAAAAAAAAAATTGATTTTGTTTGTATTAATTTATATTTATATTCAGTCAGCCCACAATTCAAAGTCTAGCTCCTTCCCTATCACTACATTTCAAACATACATCCACGATTCCATGTAGAATAAATACTTGATATCAATATCAAGAATGAATAGTTTCTTCCAAAACCGTGGTGGAGTGGACAAAGAATATGAGT